TCCATTGTTGAAAAGAAGTCTGAGATCAGGTGAGTGTTTCATTAATGCTGCCCACACTTATTGACAACTCTCCAGGATATACCTATAAATAGCCTATGCTGTGCTGATAAAGATTTTTATTTTTTTGGTTTAACATTATTATTGATTATTTGAAATCTAATAGAAAATGGCAAGAGTACAAGATTATTCCAGTTTATGCATTATGCATTATCTGAATTTACATTCAGCTAACTCAGTGCTGTAGGTCTTAGCTGGAGGGACCCAGCAGTACCATATCTTCCAAAAAAAGCAGAGACCAAGTTATAAACAGAACCCAACGACAGAGGGAACCCCTGCTGGAGTCCAAAATGTACTGGGAACAGGTCTGACTTAATGCCTGCAATACTGACTAGACTCCTGCCCCGAACCCCCTACCCCCCTCCCCCCCCGCTCCCCAGGCGTGTCGAGCACAGCAGGCGCACTGAATTCAGAGACCTGAGGTACTCTAGGTGGATCTCATCAAGCCCCCTAAGCTTTGCCACCATGACATCTTTTGACCACCTCAGTACCTGCTTCCTTGGTGATGAACAGGTCCGACCTTAGGCATTCATTTTCTGCTTCCAGGGAAGCTGTCAAATCTGGGTTGAGATCCTCAAAGTATTCCTTCCACTGCCTGACAATGTCCACAGTTGGAGTTAACAGCTTCCCCTTCTCACTGTAGACACTGTTACCCCCAGATTTCACTTCCTAGGTGATTATTCTGCTCTGCTCATGTCTGCCCTACGGCCCAACTCTGTTGCTATGTTAATTCACAAGAACTGTTCCATATTGACCCTTTCTATTCGGAGTGCACCATCCATTGGTCCGTTGTTCATCAAATTATGGAAAAACGCCAATTTTCTACTCTGCTCTGGTCCGCCTGGCTCTTGCGCTTGCTCTCTTTAGGCTTCAAAGAACTTTAAGCAGAGCTTGGTGGTGTTACCTTGGATATAATATGCGTTGCTTTTCACAGAATTGTAAAGGTGGTCTGCAGTGGAACATATGCCTAGAGGAACAGAAGATGTGGAATCTGAGCTTTAGCGAAGCACTGCGTCCACGTCAGGAGGCACCACAAAATCTGGCAGAATCGTTTGAGGCTTACCATTAGTTTTTCTCCATGGTCTGTCCGAACTCCTTCCAGAAGAATGGAATATCCAGATAAAATTTAGTTTGGTTAAATCAGCAACCCCCCTCCCCTACAAAATATCTCTGGCCTGCTTGAGAAAAAGGAAAAACTGACCATTTGCAGATACAAAAAAAGAACTTTGCCAATATCATCATTGTTTTTTGTCACCCATTGAGGTAGCTGGAGTTCTTTGCATGAAGGCATTTTGTGATTTTATAAAATCAGATTTATTAGCAACTAATCCTTCAGAGACTAATAATACTTAAACCGATGAATCAAATTAAATTAAAATTAAATCAAATTAGAATCTGATGGGATTCATCTCAATATTTTTCAATTGTACATCTACAAAAGAAACTTGACTGAGAACTAAGACTATAACGTGAATGACTAACACTTTTATTTTATCTTTTTTTCTGTCTAGCTGCCACAAAAATCCTGAAGATGAAAGTAAAACGAACAGAAGCTCATGTAAATCAGGTAACATGCCAAGTTAATTTATTAGAAACCGTATTTAGGAACCGTATTTTCTATAATACTGCATTATTTAATTTTTTTATGTGCAGATGAGAAGAAAACTCTAAACATAACAAAAGTAAGTTTTAAACATTTTTTCCACTTATTGAAATTTATAAGATTCATGGTCATTCAAATGTTGATCCTTTCCCTAGCTTTCAGAGAGAGAGCCCATTCTCCCTAGAAAGAAGGTTTGGTTCAAAAGCCCCATCACATCTGAGATTCAAATAGACAAAGACATCACACGAAGCAGCAAAAACTTCAGCAATTCCAGAACAGGAATCAGCAGCGCTGAAGATGAAACATTACCCTTTTGTGGGACTCTAAACAGGCCACAGAAAGCAAGGTTCTTTCACTTTGTGGATAAGAGCGAAGAGGAAGCCTATTTTCAAAAGATGAGGGAAAGATGCGAGAAACTAAGAAATGCTGTTTTCTTTCCTTTAATATTAGAGAAGGAAAACCTGTAGAGTTAACCTGCAGTTAATTCAGACTTGTATGGGGGGGAAGTGTATGACAGTAATAGACTGAGGAGTGGATGGATGGAAATATTTAAAGGGAATAGATGTTGGAAATAGGTGTTTTATTTTATGTTTCTGGTAAATATTGATGTAATTAATTATAATAAAGTTTGTCTAAGTAAGTCTAATTAAAATGTATATTCATAAGAAAGGCCACTAGATGGCACACTTGTTAATAATAACCCTTTGAGAAAATGCACGCAACTTAAACGTTTTGTGGGAAAACAATATATATGTATAATGTGTGTGCTTGTACTTGTTATATTTATGCTTAAATGTATTGGAATTTATGCTTTGTGTTGCTTATTCTTCTATAGGTTATTTCAAATAATAAAAGAAATGTTAAATGTGCTAAACTTATGAGTCCTATTCTGTCAATTTGCACATTTTTGCAGCTACTGTTTATCGTTTTAAAATATTGTTACTTATACTGATATAATATATAATCTATTATGTGCAGATGAATGCCAGCGTTTCTAGCTGTTCCAAAGCCGACTCTAGATTATTTTTGAAGTACATTTTACGCCAACACAATTCCCCACAAAACATCAACACTGAGCACACGTACCACATGGTTACCTCACCAAAAATATCAGCCAATCATTGAATTCCGTCCTAAAAGCCGCGCAAGCAGCTGACCAATCAGAAAAAAGCTAACAGGTTACCAAGCAGCCCCTCTGACTAATGCCTGTCATATGACTCTGACACCCATGGAGACAGTTACAAGGAACGAGATTCGCTCCTGGATGTGAAAACAAAAGAAAGCGTGTACCGAATTTATTTTTGGTACAAAAATGCCACCGACTCTCTTTCACAAACTTTTTAACAAGAAAAATGCGTTGTCTCCCCCACCGAGATGTAGCAAGGAGGGCCCAGCTTTCAGGTACATCTTTTTTTTTGTCTTTTATGTCTGTGTGTAACGTTGGCTACGCTAATTTTATTTCAGATTTTTAGCTTTGTTGTGTGGGCGTGTCGTTGTTTTTGAAGATTCACAACGAAGAATGGAGTGTGTCTAATAGATATTTATATTTTAGTTATGTCAACCGTACAAGGCAAACTTGGTGAAGACGTGGGAGACGTGTTGTTCCTGCTGTTACGCCGAGCTAACTTGCTAATGCTAGCGGAGACTCAGGCTGCTGCACGCGCTGTGATGGTGTCTTCATTCCTTAGCAACCGTTTTTTCCCCCTCATTAACTGAATTATATTAGCGCGTCTATTTATCAGAAGCTGCCATTGAAGATTGTGCGTTTTAAAGTTTTATTTTTAGCGGCTAAATGTGGTGGGAGATCCAGAATTGGCTGTCTGCTCTTTGTTTCTCCTCGTGTTTCCCTAGTCACCTCCCCTCCACCGTGGGTTTGGGTTGTTATGGAACATTTTTTGTTCTATTTAAGTTTAGCTGCTATTGTTCTTTTATGGAGAAAATACAAGTTGCTCCTGGTTTATGTTTTTTCTTCCTGCCAGTGCGTTCAGAAAGGCAGCAGAGGACACAGTGTGCTGTGGTAGCGGTGAGCAGTATGTGACTGCTCCACTTAAGCTAATCTCATATCATGCATCTCTATCTATACTCAGTGTTTACATCGTCAATGTTTAATTTTCAACAATGTTGAGATATGCAGCCACGTGGCTACACCGTGTTAAAACAATGCAGCTGTTTGTTGTTGTTGTTTTTTTTACTTCAGTATAAGTTACTAAAAATGCAATATACTGTGCTGCAGGTGTCTGTGCTCTTAGATTTACTTGGGTTTCTTCACTTTAAAATGTTTTATCAAACGCATGTTACGTTGGCAAACTCTAGTGAATTAAGAAAAAGCTTATAGAGGTTTTAATTACTAAGGAGGGAAAAAAACTGCACCAATATGTAAAGCAGCAATTGCACTAGGGATGATACTAAAGATTTTGTTGCTAATTGATTAATCTGTCAGTTATTTTTATTTTTTCAATTAATAATCAGAAAGCAAAAAGTTCCTTAAAGATTTAAGACAAAAAACTTTTTTTTTTTTTTTTTACAGAAGTAAACCATGTGAAACTATGGGTAGTAAATATTGACAAACCAAGATCTTTTTTTTTTTAATCCTAAATGCAAAATATGTTAAAATCTTTTTACAATTTTCGCATAGTTACTACTCTAAAGTGGTTGCTCTGTAAGCTAAAGGCAGGTTTTAGAGTCTCTATCCTCCAGATAACGATTAATCTGTACTAAATTAGTTAAAAATTATTTCAATAATAAATAAATTGAGATTAATCAGATAAATTGTTTCAGCCCTAAGTGCACACTAGTTAAATCATATAATAAATGATTTAACTGATTGAATTTAGGTCAAGCTGATGTCTGATTTCTGCTAGACATGACGAATTGGTAAATGCCTTAAATCGATTTTGATAAAATATATGAAGTATTGCTTCATTCCCCAATCTACAAAAAATCGGGAACAGCTGACGGGCTAAGCTGTTTGAATATCTCCTCATAGACATGACAAATTCCTTATCCTTAAATGCTGAAAACATGCAAAATTATACACCCACCTCTGATAAGCTGCGTTACTACATTTAACTGACTAGAACTAATGAACTGATCCTCAAGGTCCTAAAAGAAATTGGTACAAGATCTTATGCACTGTATAGCCTCCGTTAACGTTATTGTTAATAAGGCATGAGCTAAAATGGCATTTTGAGTTTTATGAGACAAAAACCATAAAATAAATTATAGTGACTGAGTTTTTGATGGTTTTTGCCTGATTTGCTGTTTTAGCACCTGGAAGATCTGCTTTACATGACTGACAGGGAATATTTCAGTGGCCCAGAAAATGGGAAAGAATATTTGGCCATTATTGTGTGCAGTGCAATTGGGTTATGAAAGGGACTCCAGAATGTATCAGCCAGTCTACCCCTGATTGGCAAAGAAAACTGAAAGTTTTAGAGTGATGTAGTTGAACTCTAATCCTTAACTCTATAGCGATGACCTGCACTGACCCCAAAATGTTTCGGTGCTTAAATTTCCTCCAGTGTGTCCAAATTTAAATGATTCTTTTAAAAAGAACAGACCCGTATTCCTCTAGAGCAGGCATCCCCAAACTCGGTCCTCGAGGGCCGCTGTCCTGCAGGTTTTAGAGATTTCCTTGCTCCAGCACAGCTGATTTTAATTGAAAGCTGATTAACAGGCTTCTGCTCTACTGCATTCATGATAATCAGCTGTGCTGAAGCAGGGAAACCCTTAAAACCTGCAGGACAGCGGCCCTCGAGGACCTAGTTTGGGGATGCCTGCTCTAGAGGAATAGATAGTGATGGTGAGATGAAGCCTCATGAGGCATTGAACCGTTTGGCCAAATTGCTTCAACGATCCCCACAGTTCGTGAGGCTTCATGTGAACACGTCACCACCTACTGGTGGAGTGCAGATCCACAGTTTGTAATAAAATCTGTGATTTTTTTTTTTGCAACTGTTTTTCTTTTTTCCCCTTTTAAGTTCCTTTGAAATTATTAATGGTTGGTGTGTATAATAAAATCTTTTGTAAGTTTTTTTAAGTGTAAAATTTCTTAGAACAATCATTTAAGGTGCACCGTTTTTCTGCCATTTTAGTGAAATAAACTCAAGCAGACAGTGAAAGTGTTTGTGCAAATTGTGTAATGATGAGCAGAATGAAAGGTGTTAGTCATTTTTATTCAAATCTGATAGTTTTTCCACGTTTTTTGGTTTTAATCAGGTTGGAAGTTGTGTTCAACCAATCTTATGACTAAACCGACCTAATTTTCCCAATCTATATTTTTACTCGGGCAAAACAATGCAAATTAGTCTCATCAGCCAAAATAATTAAGTTTAATCGCAACTTTCAAAAGAGAGAGACAGGTCTTGAACCATCAACCTCTAGCATGAGAGACTGTCCCTTACAGAGGACGCCACTCTTGTGGTTAGTCTGCACGGGGAGAAAACACTTCTTCACACTGACGTAATAACACTGGCTTTGTCTGGTGGTTTGCTCAAATTTTGATCTTTACATTGTTTATTCTAACCTAATTAGCTTTAAGCAACTAGATTGGTTGGAAAAACAACCAATCTATTCTTAGAATCTATCCAAACTTTATCCAGCTGAGAGCAGCTCTCCTCCAATCTCCAACATCTTGACTGAACACTGAGGCTGTTTAGATGCCTGTCAAAATTCTTGCGCTTCCCGAACCACATACCGAAGCGGTCACGTGGTTTGACGGTAGCGAGGCCTCGGACGTCATCAATTTTGGCCCCTCCTCTAAATGAATCGCGCCTCGACACGCGCTTCGGGGAAACGCCCCCTCCATTATTCGACACACGCCTCGAAGCCTCGGCTCATCTCATAACATCACTAGGAATAGAAAATGATTATTGCAAGATTTTTCAAATCCTTGATGGCACCTTTAGCCAAGATTGAGACAACCAGATCTCAAGTTTAGGGGCCCATTACAGTTTCACATAGGGCCATGGCCCATGCCTAGTCCTCTGTTTTTCTTATTTATAGTTTTTTCTCAACATTATGTTACCATAAATTTATGTTTTATAACTTTCAAGTTTTTGCAAAGTGATGTTGGATGTGCTTGTTAATGTTTCTATACCTTGCCACATGAGTGAAGGCCCTGACATAAATATTGTTCAAAAAAAGATAAATTAAAAGATGTGAATCATCCCTAGCTCCTTTAAATTCTTCGTGATGATTGAACCAGCACTGCGAATAGAACCAAAGTGACTAGTTTGGCATCAATAGTCAATATTGGAGCTAATTTCCAACCTGGGTATCTGATCAATGTAGCTCTAGTTGACTCAAATGCGATCGAATAACAATTTTCCACTTTAAAGGGGGAATGAAGTGAACACAAGAAAGAAAGGTAAATAATAATAAATGTACTAATTGAATTTTATTTGTCTCACATTGGAGAAATTTACCTCTACATTTAACCCATCCCCCTGGGGAGCAGTGGGCTGCCATCGTGTGGCGCCTGGGGAACAATTGGGGGTTAAGGGTCTTGTTCAGAGACCCAGAGTGGCAATCTGTGGGAGTGGATTTCAAATTCACCACCTCAGGGTTCCAAGCTCTATACCCTAACCACTAGGCTGCCACTCCCTTTTAATAATAAAATAAAAGTAAACAGGCAAGGTTCATAGGATTTCATTTACATCAGAGATGCATTCTGCAAATTTGGAGAAGACTGTAACGTTACAATACAAAAACAAGCTGTGGAGGTACTTAATAAGGTTGTACTTGTGTATGATGAGCAGTGTGTCACAGAGCTGCTTAGCAGGAAACTCAATACTCCCCAAGTTGATTTGCAGGCTCTATACACATTGGTATGTTCTCGC